TACCTGCGCTGCGCTCCTATCCTCCATTCCCCCAACATACGATGAGAAGACCGAGAAGCCGTCGCAGTTCGAGCGCAGACTCGACTGCTGCGGGCGTGCCATATGCGCCCGATGCTTGACGGATAACCCTAGATTTCAAAACTACTGCCCATATTGCCAGATAGCGACAGGGCCATCAGCACTACCACCACAAGGTCTCCGCGACCCTCCTACGTATTCGCCACCGGGCGAGCAAGTCAACGACGAACTGCCACCATACTCAGCAGGCAACGTGCTGCAACCACCATCTGAGAAGTCGAGGACAGACGCCGAAGACGCGCCTGATGTTCTACACTTTGTCGACCAAAACAACGACTCAATCTTATCGCTATCGCTCCGATATGGCGTACCCGCCGACGCCTTACGCCGAACGAACAACTTGTATGCGGATCATCTACTAGCGGCGCGTAGGACGGTACTCATTCCGGGAGAATTCTACAAAGGTGGGGTTAGTCTAAGCCCGAGGCCACTAGAGGGCGAGGAGGAAGAGATTAAAAAGACAAAGCTACGGAAGTTTATGGTCAAATGCAAGGTCGCAGAGTAAGGGCATCATCTTCCACCATATAGTGGACATATGGAGAACTGACATCCTCATCAGATACGACGTTGCACTCCTTTACCTTGAACAAGCCAGCTACAACCTCGAGCAGGCAATCACTGCATACAAAGCCGACGAAGATTGGGAGAAGACGCATTCTCTAGAAGCTGCGAAGAAGGGCAAGGCGAAAGAGTCACAAAACTCAGGGCGGCGGAAGTGGGGCTTTGGAGGCCTCACAGGTCAACTTTGATAGCGCTTCCGAGACGATTCTCCGCTCATGGCGTTTCACGGCGCTCCGATAATTTGGTAGAATGGATATTACCATCGTAGTTAGCGAGCGTGTGTATATGTTTCGAATGGCCAGTCACCATAATATGCCACATATACGCTGGAAGAACTCTTGTGCTAAGGACATAGAATACACAATACAGCATTAACTTTTCCAACAACATCCCATGTATAGAGCAGTTTTGACGATTCATGAACTTCCATCAGCCTCTCTAAGAAAACCGACTGAGCTTACTATCAGGAGGATCTGCTATTTTCGTTGGTCGTTGCTTCCAAAGTCTCACTCCTCGCGTCAGGCGCTCACAGCCAATCATCGCGCAGAAGCACCCCAGGCTGTAAGCGCCCATACATCTCACGAATTAGCATCTGCACCTCAACTCTGGAAGCGCCCACGCTCCATTCGCGTTTCACACTCTGGCGGCCCTGCATTTGAATCCTTCTGTATCCTCATTCGACAGTTGACAGCGCGCTACAACCGCTCATGCCCTGACTCTGCCATACCTCGCTACCAGCGGAACCACAGACAAGCCACAGTCTTTGACGCACGGTACGATCGGCATGCTCATTGAACCACAGGGAACGGCATGTGCTGCTAAATGCACACATGCGGTAATACGGCAAGACCCCATGCAGGTTAATATCGCTATTCTAGGCCTGGTGTGCAGCTTACGCGCTGCGAACAACAATACTCTCACCACCAGCCCAGCACACTGGCGCTGCTAGTCCATGTCCCACGGATGGTCGCAGCGGCAAGACAGATTGCCGTTCTTTCTTTGCTCTTGTTCGTCTATTCCTGTACGCGAACGCCAGATGGGCTGCAGGGGGTTGCACGATGTGTTCTGTAGGCGTGAAACCCCCATTGCGACCGAGATCGTTTTAAAGGCATGTGCCACCCCCAGAGTTGTTTTCTATCCCCATCCCAGGCAAAGAAGATCGACTCGGAGCCTTAGCTTATATCAGGCCTCTTTCTGTTGCTTGCTTGTTATTTCGTTCTCTCGTTCATTCGTCCTTCATTCCGAGAAAGAAAGGTGCGCACTGGTTGACGCCTAGTAATCAATCCGATCTTTATACCATCCTACGCTCCACGTTTTTGAAATATAAAAAGCAAATTCGAGACCAACGACTATCATCACGATGAAGATCAACCCCGCTCCTTTCCACTTGGCTCAGGCCATCATCACCGGCCTTGTCGTCGTCTTCAGCATCTGCATCCTTGGCACTTCGGCACACACCCTCGATGTCTTCAACAGGCAACATCTCACAAACCCTTGGTGGGCACCGATGTGGCCTCAGCACTTCGACGTGCAGGGGACCAAGGCGCTCATTGCTTCGTCTGTCGTGACTCTGGTTCTCTGTGGCGCATTCTTGATCGCATCGTTTCTCCCTCAGGTATGCGGCCGTCGATGAATCTCATGCAAAAGAACATCGTTCTAACAAACATCAGCTTGCGCTTCGTCAGAAATACACCCTGCGGGCTCTTCTGTCCCTCGCTACCCTCCTTCCTACTCTTCTCCTCACCCTGATCACCACCATCTGGGCCCACATGCTCAACAACAACGCGCCAGAAGTCGATACCATCCAGACCTGGACCTGCAAGATGCAGAGCTCTCAACCGCTTGATCAGGATCTGCCTGCTGACATTGCCATGCCTGCTGGCATGGGCAACAGCGACTTCAAGACCCTTTGTGGGGCAAGCAAGTTTGCGCTATACGGAACCCTGATCGTGTTCCTGCTTGTGGGCGCAAGCATGGCTGTCACAATGATTACCTGGATGGCGGACAAGTGGGCAGCGAGGCAGCAGAGGAAGGAAGTTGAGATGGGCAACATTCCCGTGAACAACTAGGCACATCCCAAGGGCGATGTTAATTCGAGAAGAGATGATAACGAGACACGCACGCGCTTGGAGGCGCGTATTATGTCGAGAGATTTGATGCATTTGGGTTATGGACCTCTGTCAGCAAGCGTGTCCAAAGGGGGAAGGCGTACCGGTGTATTGGCGTCATAGGTCGTTGGTATGTGACTTTGAACAAGGGTCTTCCTTTCAATGTACTATTAGGCAAATGAAGGCCTCTTTTGCGTTCAATCGCATCTTCTTTACACTTCGCATTGGAATGAAGCATTGTGCAGCGATATTGCGGGGGACTGGGCCCAGATCAGATCGACAAGTCCAATGGACGATCACCCTGGAGCTGAGCACAGGATGCGTAAGCGTGCGTGAGCGGGAACAAGGGAAGCAATCATGCTGAACCGCTGCATGGCGCTTTTGTGTTTCTGGGTGAAAAGCGTGCGTTTGCTGGACATGGATCGTCTGGAAAGTTGGACGGGCCAGCAAGCAGCCTCGGAGGAGTTGTCGCGCAGAGCAACGGCACGGCAGCGCGCGCGACAAGCAATTGTCTTTGTACCATCCAGACTTTGTTCATGAGACATTGCACGTAGCGGTTTCAGGGCAGCGTTGAGACGACCTCGCATCTCCGACAATTGACAGGTTAGATAGGGAGCGAACCGCAGTGGGGAAGGCGTGAATAAGCCGGTCAACGATCATCGTTTGGTTCGCGGTTCCAGTTCGGCCGTCCAGTCGCGTCACGACCGCTGATCAGCGCGCGACTCCTCATTGCATCAACTGCCGTCATCCGGCCAGGCCCTCGAGCGAACTTGGGTTGTCGCATTTGCTTCTTTCTCTCCCTCTTGCACTCCGACCGGAGCGTGACTCGGAAAGCGAAATCTACCCGCCGTTCCTCGTTAAGCAGCTAAATTGATCACCCGTCCTGTCATCCCGGAACCCTGTCCATCTTCAGCCCCCAAGGGCTCGAGCGTGCATCGAAGCGGCATCAGAAAGATCCCCTCTCCACCTCAGCGACACCGCATAATCCTGCCTGACCGCGCCTTCCGACCGCTCCTTCCCCCTTCACACACACATCCACACAATTGCACTCCGCTATGCAAGCTCGCCATACGCCGACCGACGAACACCGCAGCAAGAGAAAGTTCCAACCCAGCATCACAAGCTATTTCGAGGTGCGGGACGATTTCGAGGATACCGACGATCTGCGGGGCCTAGATCCGATTACCCGACCGCGACACCAAAACACGAGGCAACACCAGCACCAGCACAGAGAGAAACTCGCTCCTGACGTCCCCGGCCAAGTGCAAGCAGACCTCCTCAGCGTCGGCATGAGAGTGCGAAAGAGCGTGCCGGAAGGCTACAAGATCCACAAGACATCCGGCCTCCCATCCATCCAAACCACCATGTCGCGGCCCACCCTAGCCGTCAAACCACCCCGAGAGCCTGTATCAGAAGAAGTCCTGCACCAGCGCGAACTCCTGCCTTTCTGCGGCCTGAACAAAATCGGCGGCTTCGCAGAACAACCAACAACCAACCCACATCTCTACGCCGCGAACGGCACGCCACCACCTCCAAACTACTTCCCCCTCCCCGCCGAGACCTTTACTCAGCCCTTCTCCTCCAAAGCCTCCACAGATAGCGGATACTCAACGACCTCGCAGCGCCCACACAACCCCTCGAAACGCTCATGGCAGGACGAAGATGAAGTCAGGACATTAGACACGACATTCTTCTTCGGCTCATCATCGTCGACAAGGGGAATGGGCATGGGCGTCGAAATCGACGAAGTGCCCGTTAGCCCGCTGAGTGAAACGCCACCTCAGGGACTCAATATGCAGCCGCCACCGCGTCGCGTCGCGCTGCCCAAGTCGAGACGGACAGTGCAACGGACGATTAGTGACGATGATATTGATATGGATTTTGAGAACGCGGCGCACATGGAAGGAAGAGTCGGCGCAGGTAGTGGAAGTGATTTCGAAGAGGCGGACTTTTTGAGCAAAGAGGTGGATATGGGTGGGATCTAAGGAGATCATATCACACCTACAGTCGGTTTTCTTGTCGTCCCGGCACCTTCTCGCTTCTTCGCTTCTTGTATATACCTTGGTTCTGGTCTGGTTACACGGTCTTTCCTTTTGGTCTCTCTCCCCCGACACGCGAAGCCGTCATTACAGGCGGCGCAACAACGGCGTTCATGAACAAGCGATGTATGTAATGTCGGCGCGTATACCCGATTTATCTTTCTTGGTTGTCTAGCTGGTAAATCTACTCTTGTCTTCTCACTATTCCATCAACCTAGCGTATGCTTTCGGCCTTTTCGATGACCACGTCGTGCAGTTTCGCCTCTGTCCGTGCGAGTTCGATGGTCCAATTATCCGGTTTGCTCCGGCGCTGGAATGGTCCAATATGTTCTTTTCGGATTTATTGTCGCGGGGTTTTTATGGCATGGAGTTGCGTTTACGTTAGGACTGCCAGAATAAACAGTATACCGCGTTCATCATTCAAGGTACTCCTTAGCCAGCCTCCACAACGCTCAACCAGCACCATCTCCCCTCCCCCTTCCCAACAAACACCCCCTAAAACTCCTGGTTAATCAAAGCCGCACTATCGCATCTCGCATCGCCCTCCGCAGCATTAAAAACCGACTGCCCCTCCACCGTAACATTCCTCGTCGTAAACCCAAAACAATGGCCCCCTTCCCAGTCATTACTCGCATCGAAAGTGTTGCGCCAACACACGGTATTGCAAAGAGGGTCTTTACCGGCCTGGATATCGGCGCGGTTGTCCTGGTTATGCTGCACGCATCTGTCGATGCATTCGTCGAGACTCTTCACTATGCCTTGTACGTGAGCAGTCACACCGCGGATGTTGAGGTAGCTCCCGTTGCAGAGTTTGCGGAAGCTGTAGGATGCGCTGCCGTAGGTTACGGTGCGGACGGTGTTGTTCGCGGAGGGGCAGTCGCGGAGGAGTGTGGGTTGGGGGCTGTATGCTGGGCCGAGGATGGTGGTCGTGCTGACGGTCTGAGTTGTTGATGTGGGTGGTGGTGGTGGTGGTGGTGGTGGTGTTGTTGTTGAAGTCGATTTCAGTGTGCTGGTCTCGGGTGTCTTGGTACTGCTGATAGAGCTGGTAGAGCTGGATTTGATTGTCGCAAGCGATCCGCCCACTCCACCGCCCGCGGCACTGCCAACAACGATGATGGCGGCAACCACACCGATCCAGAACGTTTTCTTCCGCAGGCCACATATCGTTCGTGCGGTCGGCTCCTCATGCACAGATGTGATGTTTTGATATGGGATCTTGTCTGTGTCTGTAAAGGCCCCAGCGTATCGCGGGTACTTGTGCGTATCCTGGTCAGTACTACCAGCGAATTCCGGATCTGAAGTGGAAGCGACCTCCAAACCAGAATACGGAAGCGATGCCATTTTCAACAGGTCGCGAAGACAATAACCTTGTAAATCTCGAAAAAGAGGTTGAAGGAGGCGGTTCTGCGGTCTCGCTGGGGCGACGTTGTTGGGTCCTTATACTCTGACACCTCGGCGGGTATCCTGCAGCCACAGTAAGCATCGAGGGGCCAAATGTCTTTTTACAGCCAAAAGTCATACATGATAAGGGGTGAATTGTGGGACTACAACTCTGTCGTCTCGAGATCTACCTTGCTTACATTAATGTTACTTTACAGACGAAGGATTAGATAGGGCCCTTTATCATCGATGGCCTTTCTAACTGGCATACTTCAACAGCACAACAACCACCAATCGAAAATATCGTCAACACAACTATTCGGACTTCCTTCGCCTACAAAGCTTTATTACGCCACATCTCGTCCTTCTTCTCCGCCGCTCTGGAAACCCCGAAACGAAGAAACCCGCTGTGACGACTTCGCCAACGTCACACTCGTGAAAAGATGGGCGGAAATGTTCGTCAACTAGATCAAATGGCTGCATATGGGTTCAATCTTCACTACCACACTAACTGATATCACGTATTCGGATTGCGGCGGCATAGAATCTAATCATAAGGCTGGTCCCGCTGCCACGCCTTATGCTGCTTCCTCGCCTTCCACTCCTCCGCCGACGTCCTCATCGACGTCCTAATCGAAACTTGTCTCGACCGCGAGATATACCCACTCCAGCTCGCTGAAGATGTTCATTCTTTTCCACATTGACAGTAGAAGCATAGTGTGCTGGCCGTGGATGTGTTCGTTGAAGTGTCGAATAGGTAGAGAGAAGTGAAGAGGGGGTAGGAAATCCGGGTTAGTTTGTCAGGCATATCCTGGGAGTGTTAGAAGGGCTTTGATAGGCGGAAGTATGGGGATGGAGACAGTTTGAAGGGATATGGGGTTAGGAAGTGTCATGGTGGTGGTGGGAAGGGAAACCTCAGGATGGGGAGGGACAGGTATTGGGAGTGGGAGTGGTGTTTAAATACCTAATCATGATCATGGTGGTGGAGGGTGTTGTAGAGTAGGAAGGCTGAACTCTGCCTCTTAGCACGTGTGCAATGCTGGTCGGCCAGATCATCTCTTGGTTATATGTCAGGCCAAAAGATCCCTTTGACGTATACATGGACTCGTAACCTGGAAGTTCTGCTAGATACGCGACAATGTATTCATCAGGGTACACTCTGACGTGCCGCCTCCATTGCTCGGTCTCACGCTCACTTTGACCGATTCGGTAACTCACCGCTTGACTAAAATCTCCCTTTCACCTCTCATCAGCCCGTGCTTAGCGAGCCCACGCTGGTTAGCGACGCGAATTTGATATCTCAGTCGCAAACGCTCCCCCTCCACCATCTCGCTAGCAAAACACCCACTTCAGACAAGAACACCATGGTCGGCAAATCCGCGACAACGGAGCCGCCTCGAAAGAGAGTGCGCTGCTCGGTCGATGATGGGCCTAGGTACTCAGAGCCATTGAATACTCGATGCTATCTACTAACTATGGTAGTCTTCAATCGAAACCCATCGTTGTGCGTGTCGGCAGTGACATGCACGGGAAGCAGGAATTTTACATTCACGAAACGCTACTTCGCGCAAGTTCGGGCTTATTTGACTCCGCGCTCAAGACAGAGTGGAAAGAGGGGCAAGAGGCTGCCGTTCATATTCCGCACTATAAGCCAGCTATCTTCGGTCTGTGGCTCAAATTCCTCTATACTGGCAGAATCTACATGGCAGAAGAGGATATGGATGGCAAACCCAGGCCAAAGCTGACAGATCGCGCCGAATTCGCAACATGGAGGGATCTCTACGCTCTTGGAGACTATATTCGAGATAACGACTTCAAGGACGCTCTGATCGACGCCATGATCGACTTCATCTCGGTTGTGCCAGTGTATCCAGCATCACTTGCCAGCTATATCTACCCGTACTCGATAAGTTCCTCAACTCATCGGGCATTTGCAGTCGACATCTTCGTCAATCTTTGGGGCCGGGAGGGGTTCAACGTCCACAAGGGACATCCACCGCAGTTTCTGGAAGATGCCTTGAAGGCTATTGGGCCGAACCTTCACCTGGGCATCAAGACTAAGACTGCGGAAGCGTGGTTCAAGATTGGCGAGGAATGCAAATACCACGACCACGGAGATAAGCCTTGCTACAGGACCAAGCCTGCCTTCCGCTTCTGAGTGCCTCCATTCATGGTCTGCGCGAGCTCCACTGATGGTAAGTCAAATTTACGGAGCTCAATCCCCCAAGTTACAGCGAAGGAAGCTGAAGCCTGGAGGTATACGCAATGGTTTTCGTTGACCTTTGTCGGCGTAAAATGCGTTGGATACCTTCAGGCTACAGTATACCTCTCTGGTGCTAGACGATGACATCCAGAGTCTATGAGCTTCCTTCCACTTATCTACTTCCGTTATGCTAACTCGTATCGACAGTTGCACCGTAAGACGCAGTGTTCGGCGATCGTGAGACGACAGGAAGTTGCGATTGAACCGCGTCAACGCCTGTGGTTTGGGTGGATCGAGTTCCTTTTGCCGCATACATTGAGGTCAAGGCCTGTCATGTACTGGCCTTTACACCCATGTAGCTGTCAGCCAGTACGATTAGTATAGTTCAAAATAGCTCTGCTGAATCTTTGCCTTTCTCATATGCTGACTGCTATACATCCATACCACTGTGATAAACGCTCACTATATACCTCAAACGAAGTTGCGATAGCAAGCACCTTTACCTAATCGTATCTTCGCTGCCTTTACCTGTTGATTTGGAGCTAGTCTGCCATCATATAAGACGCTCCCTCTACCTAGATACCTTTAGACACTAACTTCCACCACAACTCACTCTCGACGCTGAATCGTTCGTCATCAAAGCTCACGATGACAAGCAACACGAACTCCCGAAAGCGAGGAAGCGACCAGTCAGAAAAGCTCCCTGATCCGAAGAAGTTGAGGCGGGCCATGGCCGACAGGCCCGGGTTAGTATGAGCTAGTTTAGCATCGAGATACTTGACTGATCAATTATAGCCGCCTACACAAGACGATCACAGTCCTCGTCGGACACGAGGAAGATGTATTCACCATCGATAAGAGTACTCTTCTGACTAGCTCCGAGTTCTTCAAGAAGACCTTGGGAACGTCGCTCAAGATCAATGGTCCAAAAGAAGTGAAACTGCCAGACGTTGAACCCCGAGCTTTTGAAATTTACCTTGGTTGGCTTGAAACCGGCTACTTCTACATCACCGAGGAAGATGACCTTGTCAATTCTCTCATTAAGGATGATTCTCGTAACATCAAGGACGACGAGTGTGGTAAGTGGAATGAGTGCTACACGCTTGGCCACGCCATACGGGACTGTGGTTTCCAGGACGCCTGTATCGATTGGATTCTAGAGAAGATGGTATCCGAAGATATGATCATGCTTCATGTACCTCTCGCGGTATATGAGATCTGTGATACAATTCCAGCGCATCGACAGTTTGCCGTTGATGGCGTCGCTCACTTTTGGTATGATGACGATTTCGAAAACATGGAAGACGACAAATTCCCTCCTAAGTTCGTCTTAGATCTCGCAAAGTATATGGGGTCAAATATGAGGCACAGAAACGTCGCGGCTGAAGATAACAAGGAGTTCTTCAGAGACATCGGTTGCAAGTATCATGCGCATGTCGCTCTCAACAAGCCTTGCTACAAGAAGACACATCCGGCCTACAAGTAAGCAGAAGAAGGTACGTCACTGCTTCCCACTGTTGCGAGGAGTGCTAACCAGCATCCTAGTCTCCAACCCTGAGAGACTGAAGACTGCTCCAGCGATTTGATCAACGACTGCGTCTTACAATCGACTATCACTCTACAACTATGGTTTTGCGGAAGGAAGAAAAGGGTTCATCACTTGATACATGCAGACATCAAAAGTTCAGGCGAGGTGGCTTTTGATTCTTGATTAACATCCAGTACTGAAGTTTAATGCGAGTCTTTCATGTCTGTGTGCCCTCTTGGTTCAGATTTATTGATGCGATCATCAAGTGAATAGCTGAGCTGGAAGGCCAGCTTTCGAAGTGAGCACATTCCTTATGCCTCATGATGTCTTGGAGCAAGCACGTGCAAGGTAATTTCTTTCGCGATTGCGCATCGCCCGACTAGCCGACTACAGCTTGAATATCCCCTTGAAGTACCCCTCAACGCCCTTACACCCCTCCCCATCAACCTCGTCAATATACCCAACATACTGATCCGGCCGCGCAACAATAACACACCCCCTCTCCCTATCAACACCATACCCCTTATACGCATCGCCAAAGCCCTCAAACGGATTCGCGTCATCCGCATACACGGAGTCGTAATCCCAACCTGTCTTCGCATCGAACGGATGTAGGATATCCGGGAGATCGCGCAGCAGCTCCACCTCCTTCCACTTGGACGAGTGTAAAGTAAGCACCTCGATATTCTTACCGAGATGCGGTGCTAATACCGATGACGACTCGAGGGCCTGGCAGAAGGTCTTCAAACGGGCGCTCTGCGGAGCGTTTGCAACGTTACCAGCGAAGACGATGATGCGGAAACGACCGTCGGATTTGAGCTTCTGCTGGAACTCCCACGCGCGGCCGTCGGCTTGGTTGATGACTTGGTGACTGGGGAAACGCATGCCGAGTTTGATCTCTGAGGACAGCTCTTGCTTGCCGATGACGGGGGACGAGGAGGAGACATCTGTGCCGTCGCCTTGGTCGGCGGCGGAGCCCGGTTTGCCGATTAGCATGCTGGTGCCGTAGTCGACTGAGAGGCCGGTTGCGAAGAGTTGGCCTAGGATGGGTTAGTTGATGGGCTTAGTAGATGGCACTGGGTTTGACGTGACGTACCCTTGAGGAAAGCGTTCTTAAACTCATCCATACTGACGCCTTCTTCGTCCATGACGTCCTTGGCTGGTCGACCGGAAAACAGCCGGGAGAACTTGTGGTCGAACGCGATGAGGTCTTGCGCGATACGTCTTCGCTCTGACTGATATGTCTTTAGGATAGAGGGATGCGCGATGCCCTTCACGACCAGACCTAACTTCCAGCCTAGGTTGTACCCATCCTGCATCGAGACATTCATACCCTGACCAGCTTTCGGTGAGTGCGTATGCACAGCGTCACCAGCGAGGAAGACACGGCTCTTGTGATCGAAGTTTTTGCCGACTCGCTGGCCGATCTGATATGCCGTCCACCAGTCACAGTATTCGTACGTCAGTTTGTACGGCGCCATGATCTTTTGTGCTGCTGTGATAATGGTTTCAGGGGTAATCTTCGACCTGTCTGCTCGGCCGCTGGCGTCGGGCTTGATCTCTGTGAGCTGGATGTAGAGGCGGGCGATTTTGTTCTCTCGTGGGATGATCATCATTGACCCGGAAGACGCGCTGTGGATAGCGCAGCGTTTGCGAACATCCGGAAAGTCTGTGATGGGGATAATGTCCAAGACGCCCCAGATGTGATCGGTGGGCTCGCCTTCAAGCTCGAATCCTAGTTGCTTTCGCGTCCAGCTGTGAGCGCCGTCGCAGCCTACGACGTACTTTGCCTTTACAGTCTCAGTACTACCTTGCTTCTGCTGGCTGTTGGCAATGAGGTCTTCAGTGTCGTCTTCTGCCAGATTGCTCCTGAACAGACCATCATTGACTCCAGACCCTTTGCTTTGCGCTGGTTTGGCCTCGTCTTCCGTGAGATATCGGAGCTGGACTGTAACAGGATAGTTGTCGGGCGAGTGGTCATCAACTCGATCCTCGGCGATATGTAGTGACTCCGGTAGCACTGCGCGCTCGACGCGTAGCGTATCCTTGGAGTGCTTCTTGATGTGATCGAGGAAGAACCTCTCAATCCGTCCCTGGTGGAGAACGATCTCCTTGAATCGTGAGAGACCTGCTGGTGTATCTGGAACTCCGTCTGAACGGCGTATCACACCATCTTCGCCGGGATTCTACGAGTGTTAGGGATGGTGGTGGGTTTATCGAGTGTGACAACATACCCACATGCAAAACTGATGATTGGTTAGCAAGGTTTACTCAAACGACAATCGATTGATGTGCATACCTCTATCAAGTGATTTGCTTCCTTCCAAGCTCGATCAGCGAAACCAAAGCTATCAAAGATCTCCAGGCTGCGAAGCTGTAAACCATCTGCCTGTCCCGAGTAGATCTTTGTGCCACGCTTATCGACAACGCGAGCATTGATGCCACATCTTGCCATCCAAGCCGAGAGCATCAGCCTAAGACTCGGTCAGTTTCGAACAATGCCCATTGTTGTGGTGAACATTACCCTGCTGGTCCAGCACCAACAATAAGACTTTGGACTCATTAGCTTCATGTTCGCATTGCTCGATATCGACAGACTAACACATCGCACTTCGACTCTGGGGTCTCTGGAACCGTCATCTTGTAGTCTCTTTGCCGTTGTCGCTAAGAGTTGGTTGTTCGCGTGTATATACCTAGCTCAAAGGTTGCTTTCGACGCAAGATTGGCTGTACACAGCACGAATGTGGCTTCCATCTAATATAAGACGGCCTTGCAAACGCTCCGTCCCGCGCACCCTAGCAATCTCACACTACGGCAATGCTGTTCGGCGTGTCGCACAGCCCACATCCCGGCGTTGTCGACGCGATCTGGTGCGTGGCTACCCCACATCACGCCAAGCCGATTTGGACCGTATGACGCATGGAACGGCTTCCTGAGTGTGTGATTCGCGCATCTCGGTGTGGGCCTGAAGGTAAGCGCAAAAACGTTTTGGGTTTGTCAGACGTTTGTCAGGTGGGTGAGGTTGAAGAGGAGTTGAAGATGTGGGTGTGGATGCAGCCGTCCCGGGTGCGGCTGCGCTCCTTCCATCGTGCGTCCACAGCGCAAGGAGTGTGGGTCCTTGGTCATGCTTGGTAAACGAAAACGTTGACAGTGGTTGGATTATACACACGATTAGTTAGCTACCTTGAGTAAATCGCTGTGCCCAGGTGGCACGGTTGATTTTGCCCTGATCAAACCTCGACTTTTAGAAGTATTCTGTCGCACCGGCGTAGTCGCCGACAAGCTGCGCCCTGGAGCAAATTCTAGTATTGAAATGGGGTCATGACGTACATACATCATCAGCGACGGCGACGTAGGTGTACGTCACCGGCGCTATGGCCTTGAGCCAGTCAATTTGTAAGAGCTGTACCATCCTACACTTGTAAGTTTCATTCGTCTTTGAGAAACCTCGGATTCAAATCAACATGTCCACAAACTACGACTTCAAGACCGCCCTCGTGACCGGCGGAGGTGGCGGCATCGGAAAGGCCCTTGCGCAACAATTCATAAAAGACGGGAAGAAAGTCATCATTGCCGGCCGCACAGAGTCAAAACTCCAAGAAGCCGCGAAAGAAATCGGCGCAGCAGCTTACTACGTGCTTGACACTGGAGATGTCAAATCCATCCCAGCATTCATCAAGAAGCTGATTACCGAACATCCGGACCTCGACTGCCTCGTCAACAATGCGGGAGTACAGCGACCGCTCGATGTCAACGAAATGGATCCAGAAGAATTTGGAAGCAAGGCCGATCAAGAGATCGACATCAACCAACGTGGGCCCATGCACCTTACATTGCACCTGCTCTCACACTTCAAATCCAAGCCAATGGCACTCATCGTCAACGTATCCTCCGTCCTCGGCTTCGTTCCGTTCTCCCTCGTCAATCCCGTATACTGCGGTACCAAAGCATGGCTGCACTTCTGGTCAATGAATCTACGCGCTCAGTTAAAGGATACCAAAGTCAAGGTCATTGAGATTGCGCCGCCGACAGTAGCGACGGATTTGCATCGTGAAAGGAAGGATCCAGATGATAACAAGAAGGAGAAGAACGAAGCTGCGTTGAGTGTAGACGAGTTTACGGAGGAGACGATAGGGAAGTGGAAGAAGGGAGATGAGATGATCGCTGCGGGTCCTGCGAATAAGATTGTGGATACCTGGCAGGAGAATATGGGACCGATCTTCCAGAGTATGGCCAAATAGTTATGCGACTTTGAAAAATTGATGGCTGGCTTGGTAATCTATACTTTCTTCTGGAGTGATGGTGTAGACTGTGATAAGATGGTCAGGCGCGTTCGATGTCAGCCGCAAGCGGCTAGCGTGATGCCTGAACGCCAACCTCAGACGCGATGCCAGCCACCCGAGTTTCAAAGGCGCGTCGAAAAAAGTAACACGACAAGTTCTCTGACTCCAGAGCTCGATCAAAATCCGGGATGATGATCCTGATGATCGTAGTTGCCAGCGGGCGGGAACCAGTCTCAAACTCCCTGGTTACTCGCGCTCTCTCCAGACTCGCGACTCGCTCTCAAATACCTCTTCCGCCGCCACTTCATACCAGCCCACCGACTCAAAGTCACACACGTTAAACAGCCCGTCTCGGTAAACGCCGCGAAGATGGTAAAGTACCACCCGCGACCCACAGCGCGCACCAGAGGATCAATGATAGCAGCAGACGCAGCACTAAACGCCCCTCGCGCAAGCTGACCCGACGCGTACGCCGTGCTCGGTACTTCAGGAAACACATCCACGAGCAGCGCATTCGCAGTATGACTCAGCAGCGTAGCCAGTGCGGAAACGAAGAATTCCAGTACAAGAGGGACGGCAGGGTGAGTGTGTTGTTGCACCGTCCATCCATAGCCTATCACCAGTGCCGTCTCGATTAGAATCAATGGAACCATATTCCTGAATCGAGCGCGTTCGATTGGGAAGTCCAGAATGTTCGCTGGGTCGACAATCTCGGCTTGACGCGCGTGGTGCGCGTAGTTTATGTCCATGAGTTTGCCGGCTATCGTCCCGCCGATTGTCATGCCAGCCAGCGCAGGTAGGAAGCTTAGTCCGATTTGTAGCTCGTTGTAGTTGTATAGGTCTTTGAAGATGACGGAATGGGCCACTTGGAAGGTATAGTAGATTCCGTAGGACGAAGCGACCATCCAGAGAATCACGGCAGCGTCCGGATGACGGATCATGCGTATCGAGTCGAAGATTCTCGAGAGTGTCTGGGAAGGCTTGGGCATCGCATTTCGCTCCGTAACAGTGGACACCGCCTGATCGCTACTCTTCCGTCCGAGAAGCGATATCCAAGTCCGCCAAACCCCCGTCGCAGGCCTCCCTCCATTCCCACAATCCCCCTCGACGTCTCCGGCAGCACAAACCCCACGAGAAGAAGACACAAAACCGCAATCCCCAACAGCGCCATGAAGACGCCCATATGCCCCGTCGACTTCATCGCCAACGCCCCACCAATAACCGGTCCAAACGCCGAAATCCCATTACAAGTCGACAACATCGGTCCCAACATCCCCCCTCTTTCCGACACCACAGCAACATCAGCCACAATCCCATACGCTATCGGCACCGTCGCCGAACCACCTATACTCTGAAACGCTCGCAGCGTAATCAACACCGGATAATTGTTCTTGTTCAACGCGAGACCCAGACTCGCTAGCGTGTACATAGTAACGAGACCGAGTAGTACGGGTCGGCGGCCATAGGAATCTGCCAGTGAACCGAATATACCCGGGGATATGGCTTGGCAGATTGCGTAAACGGTTACGGTTAAGTTGATGGCTTGGATGGAGACGGAGAAGTGGGTGCTGAGGGTGGGGATGAGCGGGAAGTAGATTGTTGTTGTTAGGGTGGAGATTAGTTGGATTATGCCGAGGATGTAGGTTAGGTAGGTGCGGGTGGATTGCGGGAAGGCGGAGTAGGGCTCTGCTGCGTTGTTTGGAGTTGGCTGGTTGGTCTTGGGTGCTGTGGTCTTTTTGGATGGGTTAATTGGTGGTGCGGTGTCTTGCACTGGTATTATTTCTGGTGATGGCGGCATGGTGAGCAGTGAGTATAGAGGAGTCCTCTACATCTCGAACTGTGGGCACGCGATATGTTACTATATGAAGAGATGTCGAGCATGCAGTCCGGGGATAAAACCTCGCTTACTCGACATCAAGCCGTGCTACCCGAGACGCCCAGTTCAACCATCATACATGATTGGAAGAGGAGAACCGTCCGGAGGAGAGTCGTCCGACTTGGCCTGCGCCCTACGTCGTCATTTCCCCCAAGCTCAGTAAAATCCATGTGCTCAGATTAGAAGCATTCATCCCGGCCGCGGAATCCTTCCAACTGCCTCCGTCTCAAAACAGCAGGCCGATCGAGACAACCCGCAAAATAACTCATGACATGGTCACCGCACCGTGAACCTACTGTCACCAGATTCATGCTCAATTGTAAGAGATCAGCCAATATCCAACCCCTCCCTCAGGACCCTTACCCTTCTTTCCAACTCCTCCGTGTCCCAAGCCCTACCCTCAACCCATTCCTTCACCTCCGCTACCATCTCCCACCACTCTCCCTGTTCACTCGTATGGCCCTTTTCCTTCGCTTCGTTCAACACGCGCCGCGCTTCACGCACAACGTGCCAAAAACGGTGTACCGTGTCTGCATCAGGGAACATCAGACTGCTTCCTTCTTTTTCACCTGGTATAGTTTGGGTGTAGTGGACGGGGAGGAGACGATGCGCCAGCGTTAGATAGTAGGGCTGGTAGAAGAGAGACGAGGTACTATTATACCATTCAGCGGGTTGATAGATGGCGTGTTCGAGGTGGTGGGGGCGGGATAGGATAGTTTGGAGGACTGTCGCTGCCACATTAAATTCCTCGTTTTCATCTCCGTTGTCTGGCAAGTTGTATATCATCTCCATGGCTTCAGTCAAGATACGCAGTGAGCCGCCGCTAACCCGAATGAAGAAGACCGCGGCACTTAGTTCTTCACTTTCGGATTTCGTAGCAATGATAGACAGGGTCTTGAATGTTTCGACATCCGTGATGGGTGGGAGGAAGTGGTGGAGTGGTATGTGTTGATTTGCGAGGATGACGGTAGGGTCGTGGTAGAGTATCCATTCTTTTTGATCTTCGATTGGTTTTTGAAGTTCGGTGATGATGAGAGACTGGAGGTAGAGGAACTTGTTCAGAGCGCCTCGCACTATAGGTGTTTGGAGAATGTGGCTTGTGTATCTGAAGTTTTGGGTGTGGAGTTCGTCGAGGGCGAGATTGTCTCTATCATGTTGCCTGAAGTTGTATAATATGGTCGCTTTTGAGATGCGCAGGTCTGCTTGCAATCTTTTAGGAGTCCAGGGTATGGATTCGGGTATAGCGTTGGCGAGATTTGGGGTAGCAGGTGTACCCGATGGGACAAGGTTGAAGATTGAGCAACCAAACAATATATGCAGGCAGATGAAAAGCAGTATGCTTCCGATCAGTAGCCGAGTCTTGTTGCAGTAGAGGCGCAGTAATACAGGAGGCGATGGCATGTTTGTAGTCTCGATGCCTAATAATTTAACATCGGGAGAGAATGCGAAGCCCATAGTGTGGAGAGATAACCCGATAAAAGTCGTCACAATCAGCAGAAATTGACATTTCACTATTATTGAAGGTGAGTACATCAACACGAGCTCATCCCGTCACCGTAAATGCATTTAGACTAGTGCGCCATGTAGTGAAAGAAGGAAATTTATTCATTCAATTTCGTAACCAATTTTCGCGGTCCAGTCTCGCTGATACCGGTCCTGCAAACGCAGCACTTGAACTACCTAGGTAGGTAAGAGAGCAACTAACAAAAGCCTCTCAGGGTATACATATTCCGCGCATCGTCGCTCTGCTGCAGAGAGCGCGAGCCATCACTCTAGAGTATCTTACTCTGCCTTCTTTTCCTCAGCAGCCTTGGCTTCTTCAGCTTTCTTCGCCTCCTCCTCAGCCTTCTTGTCCGCTTCATCCTGAGCCTTAGCCTCCTCGTCCGCCTTCTTCTGCTCCTCGGCATCCTTCTTAGCAGCCTCTTCCTCTGCCTTCTTCGCATCTTCAGCCTCCTTCTTCGCGGCCTCCTCCTCAGCCTTCTTCTCCTGCTCAGCCTCCTGCTTAGCAGCCTCATCAGCCTTCTTCTGCTCCTCTTCCTGCTTCTTAGCCTCCTCAGCGTCGGCCTTGGCAGCTTCCTCCTCAGCCTTCTTCTGCTCTTCCTCTTGCTTCTTAGCCTCCTCTTCCGCCTTCTTGGCTTCCTCCTCAGCGGCCTTGTCGTCGGCGTTGTCCTCGTCATCCTTGTTGTCGTCCTGGCCGTCTTGACCCTCGAGAAGCGCCTTCAACTCCTCAGCAGCAATCTGTTCGTTGAGCTTGTTGTCCGCTTCGTCGTTCTGCGCATCTTGGAGGTCCTGGAGAGCACCCTGCCAGATAGCACCGAGAGTCGCAGCTGGGTCCTCGGCAACAGCCGACCAAGTGGGCTTCGCACCGAAGAGCTGGATACCAGCTGTCTTGGTGGGCATTGCGCCGTCCAACGCGCCAGTCGCGCCTGCGATACCGCCGAAGCCACCGAGCTTGCCGAAGGCGTCGCCGCCGAGAATGTCCTGGGCGATCAGCGTGCGGCTGTCGAAGACCATGACAGTCTGTGTCTCGCGGGCGCCGCGGTTAGCGACAACGGCGGACTGAGCGAAGATGTTTTGCTGGACTTGGTTGCCGCGGCCGTCGTCGATGGCGATCTGGATCTCCTGCACAACAAGGGTAACAGTGGCGACATCGCGGAACTGGTTCTGGAAGTTGCTCTTGCGGAAGAGGTTGTTGAGGTCGTTGTTGAAGCCGTTGTTGACCTGGTCGACGATGAGGACTTGCTCCACTTGCTGGACGACGGCTTGTTGACGTCCGTTGTCGATGATCTGGAGGTTCTCCTGCTGGATCTGGATTACTTGTTGTTGCTGGTTGAAGTTGTTGAAGCCGTCGATGAAGTTGAAGGCGCCGTCGTTGCCGTTGAAGCCGTTGACGACGGAGTTGAAGCCGATTTGGCGCTTGGCAGGGGTGTTGATGGGCTTTGCGGCTGTGAGGGTGGATTAGTATGTTGCGTCATATGATTGAGTGTTTGGTTTGGAGAACTTACCAGCGAGACCAGCCGCAAGCGCGATAGTAGCAATAGCCTTGATAGACATGTTGATGATGAAGTAGTCCTAAAAGGGTAAAGACGGTAGTATCGTGATTATAAAGAAGGTAAAGATTAAACGTCACAGACGTATGTGTATAAAAGGTTCAAAGAAAGTGGAAATAAGCAGACTATCAAAGTCGCTAAAAGAATCGAAAGCGGGAATTAAGGAAGGAAGGACTGAAGAAGGCCGGAAGAAGAGTGAGTGTGGGATGAGAAGGTAAACTCATGCGTCCTTCCTTCAGCTTTTATCCAACCACTGCCATCGACAAAACGACGTCGTTAATGCCCAGGGAACACATCGATATGTCGGTACTTGCCTTTGCCGCCCCTGTATTGCCGTAGAGATGTGACACACGTACCATCGTAGCCTTGGGTGCCTCAGTAACTCGCCACTGGCACACTTTGCTACCGGCGCACTCCACTCCCGTATCTTGCCAAGACAGATGATGTGCACTAAAACGGTTGCCAAGATTTGCTTGACTGTTTTGTCCTGATTGCCTTGCGACCTGAGGCCTTGTTGTATGAGCCTTAGGTTAGCGGAGCCGTGGTATCCGATCGGGAGCCAAGGCTGGGGTCGCTGCTTCATGCCTTAGCGACGTCCTCAGGCAGTATTTTCGGTGATTTTCGGTTACGCTGGGCAGGGGAAGGGGACGTCGATCTGCGTTGATCTGGGACTGTGCTGCGTTCAAGTGCGACTGTGCTGCGTGTGGAGATGGAAAGGATGCTTGGTGGTTGTGCGCGTACACACGAACCGTTGTCGTAAGACCACTATGCGATACCCAAGCTACCGTCATACTTGCTCTTCTTGTCGATAAGAAATCTATCCTTCGTGTTCATGCTCCTCACTTACTGTTCATGCCGATAGCAAACGCTTCCCTTTGTGTTGATACCCACGAGTCGATGCCACTGCACCACCACCACCCCCATATGCACCCCTAACTCGCCAATCACAATCACCTATATCACTACTCTTACTATTTTGCCCTGACTCTGCCATAGCTGTCACATCGCTACTTCCCGTTTGAAGGTGTCGACTCTGTCGAGGTGATGAGTGAACACCACACGCTGCGACGCACCTGAAACCCCACCAGTTGAGGAACGCACCAGCCACGTTGCAGATCCCCGACAAGGGACACGCATATCGATGATATCGTATATGCATTAAGGTCAGGCCAGGTGTTCGTCTTTTTCTCGGATGCCTTGTCTTCCTGAGGCTAACGTGCTTGATCGACGGTAACAGGCCAGGGAGATCGTTCTTAGCTCAGGCTTGGTCGGGAGAAAAGGTTCTTGGTTGATCCTGTCTATATTTAGCGGAGTTGCCAATTTCCTCATCACAGGCAGGATAGGATGGGTAGATGGAGATGAAGATGAAGATGGAGAAGGCGCCATCATGTCGAAAGTTACTCAACGTCAATTTCTGACCTGGATATCTACACACACGCATCAATACTCCAAATGATCCTCTCCTATTCCCATGTAGTAGTCGCGCTTCTCGTTCTTCCTCTTCAATGAACGGAATCTTCCATAGCAGTCAAAAGCGCTCACAGCAATCGAAATTCGAGAAAGCGAATCCCTCATTCCAACTTTCAAAACGCGCGCCATTGTATATAACCCTCTCCGGAACGCCTACTAATGCCTTCTTGCCGCGCCACGTGTTACGACATAAAGAGAATCCTGAGGAATACCCCTCAGCTCCGAAGGGAGCCTGTAGGAAGAGTGAGGAATTGAGGCCAACTCGATAGTGCGAGGCAGCTAGTCTCTTGTAACACAAAATTCATAGCCCCAAAAAGAGATTGAGAACCATTTTACTGGTAGACTGGATGGAGGTTTCTACTCATCATCCGAGTCGGTGTCAGTGTCGGTTTCACTCTCGGA